ATCTCTGAAGGGAAAGAGGGGATTGTTTTGGGTATCTGTTCTGTTTGCTAAGTTGACAGATTTAGGCAGGTGCTAAGGTAATTTTCAGTTGTTTGAACCTTGACTGAAATGTTTAAAATAGTAATTAATGCTGTTCACACTCGTTGAGGTGTTGCAACATGGAATAGCAAGATCACTACCAGAGAGGGAGGCAGGCAGCAGAAGCGTGTGTTTTTCAATCATTGAAATGTAAGTTAGATAGGCTTCTTTCAGAAAATAATTTGAGATATACCTAAGTTAAGATATATTGGAGAAACATAGAAAATAGGGGCAGGAATAGGCCATTCGGTCCATCGAATGTGATCTGCCATAAAATGTGATCATGCAACTCAGTACCTTATTCCCACTTTCTCTCCATACCTTTTGATCTCCTTATCCCCAGAAACTATATCTAGAAAACATTCAATGTTTTGGTTTCAACTGCTTCCTGTGGCAGAGAATTCCACAGGCTCACCACTCTCTGAGTGAAAAAAATACCCTTCATCTTGGTCCTAAATGGCCTATCTCATCTCCTTAGACTGTAACCCTTGGTTCTGGACTCTCTGCACTTACTCTGTTTAGTCAGCATTATATGGACAGACAAAATATAGCATGTTTGACACTGACAATTTCCAAATTTTCCACCACTTGATATATTCTCCATGTTATGCTTGCATCAGTTGTGGGTTAGGAATGAATTTCCTGATTATCCAAAATTCCATTATTATTTTTAATGTGGCTACCAGGATGGTCAAAGATGCTATTAGTCTCTGAGTTCTCATGTTCTGATGAAGGCTTACTCCTGAAATGTTAATCTCTCTCTTTTTGAAATGTTATCCAGCCCACTCTGCATTTCTTATAACTTATATGCTTGATTAAGAACATATGCACACATGATCTAGGATCAGAAATAGACCATTCAGTCGTTCAAACCTACCCCAACATTCCATGAGGCTTTGGCTTAATTGCTCATGCTCGAAGTTCTACGTTCCCATCTATCCTGAATAACCTTTTATTAACCTGCCTAACATCTGTCTCCACCTTTAACATATTCAATGAACCCTGTCTCCACCACCTTCTGAGGCAGAGTTCCAAATCTATGTAATCCTCTGAGAGAAGCCATTTCCCCTGATCTCTGTCCCAAAAGGCCGAGCTCCAAATTTTAAGGCAGTGCCCTCTATTTCTGGAACAAAAACAGAAGTTGCTGGAAAAGCCCAGCAGGTCTGGCAGCACCTGAGAAGAAAAAATCAGAGTTAAAGTTTCGGGTCCGGTGTCCTTTCCTCAAGCTCCTATTTCTGTCCTCTATTTCTAGACCGATCCACAATAGTAAAAGAGACCAGATTGAGGTATTAAGATAATGATCTGGTTTCATAGAGCGAGTCAAGAACATCTATGATGAGTGGGTGAATAACTAGATTAAACTGTATTGGCAAAGGTCCGGAGGGGAGATGATGAGAAAGTTTTTCATTCGGAGTGGAGATGAGACATTGAAAGCACCTGAAAAGGCATTTGAAGTTGACTCCATAAATAATTTTGAAAGGGAATTGGACAACTACTCGAGGATGAGGTAATTATAGGGATGTGTAGAAAAGGTAGGGATGAGAGAGGAAGCATGATTGCACTTTCAAAGAGCCACGACAGGCACAATAGGCCAAATGCCTCCTACTGGGTTCTATGTCTGTATGAGTCTACGAAGTGTGATGCCTTTCACATTTGAATAGCTTTCAATAATTATTGTCCTGCCTCACGGATGAAGAAAGACCACTTGAACAAGCTGCATGAAGTGAGAACAATCATGGAAGTGAAACCAATCGAGTTACTGATTCCAATGGTGCATGAAGAAAAAATTGAAAGGGTTAGGGGCTCCCTTGTGGCACAGTGGTAGTGTCCCTAACCCTGGGCCAAGAGGCCTGATTTCAAGTCCCACCTGCTCCAGAGGTGCGTGATAACATCTCTGAACTGGTTTATATAGGAAAAATAAATCAAATAAAACAAAAGCTATCAATATAAACAGGATACAATTAAAAATGGCATAGAATCAGAGTTATACAGCATGGAAACAGACCCTTCAGTACAAATTATCTGCGTCAATCAGTCATCGTAAACTGATCTAGTCCTATTTGGCTCTTATTCCTCTAAACCCTTCCTATTTATGCACCCATCCAGATGCCTTTTAAATACTGTCATTGTACCAACTTCCACCACTTCCTCTGATAGCTCTTTCCATTCACACACCACTCTGTGCATGAAAAGGTTGCCCCTGAGATCCTTTTAAATCTTCCCCTCTCATCTTAAACCCATGCACTCTCATTTTGAACACCCCTGCGCAAGGAAAATACATTGTCTATTAACCCTATCCATGATCCTCATGATTTTATATATCTTTAAGGTCACCCCTCAGCCTCTGACACTCCATGGAAAAATGCACATCGAAAATGTAACACTGGAAATTCAACAATTTTCCAGTACTTATCCCCACAAACTTATTCCTAGGCTACCTACCCAGGGTACTCCTGGATTGGTTTGGAAGATATGCCTTTATCTTTTGGGAGCTGGGTGCCATCTCTTTCTGAACTTATCCACTCTGTTAGAAATGAAATGAAGAAATGTTAGTTGATTGCAAATGTAGTAAATGGTCTTCTATTAAGTTGCAAAACTTACTGGAAATTTGTGTAAATTTATGGTTGAACTATAACATTTTAAAGTAATATAACTTTTGCTAATTTTACATGTTTCTGTAAATTTAATCGAGAACGAAGAGATCAAAGATGCTTTTGTTTTGGAACGAAGAAAATACCTGAGGACAGCATTATTAGACTACCAACAAACCATGCTACTGAATTCGTGCCAGCAATACCCCACTATGGGCTGAAAAACCATTTTCAATAAGCACATGGTTATAAGGAGATGCCAAGTGGAGATCCTGAACTTCAATGTAGGGAAAGATAATTAGGCACATTACCTCCAGGACCACTTGGTGGATATTTCTAACAGTATTGCAAGTAGTGTAGTTGTCCAATCATTGTTTATTGTGTAGGTGATGTACTAAACTTTGAGACCATAACAAAGAGATAGTACATCGACATGTATATTTCAGTCTCATGCACTGGGAACTCATGCATCTGAGGAACTCACCATAAAGACGTTCCCGAGTTCGTTTGCGTTCAGCAGGCACAACAACCCTCATAGTGACACGGATAGATCCTGACTCATCTCCCAGGTGCGACAGACCTGTCTCAAACGTCTGTGGTGTGTTTCCAATCAGGGACTTCAGTGCGATACAACACTCTCCTGCAAAACAGTAGGAAGTGGGAATACAGCAGGGATCAGCCTTATAAAAATGTAAATTAAGTTCATGTTGTCGGATTGATTTATGGTCTTGAGTGGTATTATGAGGGATTTCTGTACCATTATTATCAGCATTCTTCTGTTACTTTTGACTTTCTTTTTGCTTTAGAACATTGTTTGGAGGTAACTTTGCAGCAGATACTCCTGATTTAAAGAGGATAGGGCAAAGAAGGATGGATTGCTTGAGTACAAGGCACTCAAGATGGGTGATGTGCATTGAGCATGTGACATAACCCCTGCTTATTCTACTTAGAGCAGCTACATTCCCTAGAAGGGGCATAAAACAGGCACTATGTGGTCTCCTAACTGGTCTATCCGAGGGCCTAGCGCCTCTTTAATCAACAACATACTTGAAAAATCTCAACATTGAGTCAGATGCCTTCGTAATTAATTAGGAAATATGAATTGATGACTTATAACTCTACAGCTTAAACTCTTCCCCTTATACATCTGTCTTCACAAACAGACAACACACAAAGACAGACAAGACGTAAATATTAAAGCTGGAGAAAGAAAAACAAAGTCACAGTTTGAAAGCAACTTTCTGGACCAAAGACTTCAGTTACTTTCTTTTTCTTCCTTCAATTTCTTTGCAGTCTTTTGCTACTGATAAAAGGTTGCTTAAACACATCTTTCATTCACTGAATTTACTTTTACTATCTTTAAAGGCTCGTTGGAACTTGGCTTTAACTTACCATAGGATTCATATCCATCTGTGGATTTGATGGTCAGCAGGAGGTGTTGGTCTTGTAGGTACTCAATATCAGACAGAATTGGAGACAACTAAAAGCAGCAACGGTGAACAGTAAGACATGGCAGAGTTCAGTGAGTTCAAACTAGTAACAATATATTATCCAGGATTTGGAAAGTCTTTGCTTTGGGTCAATGTCTCAGTTCCTGTCTCTATCAACAGCCTTTCATTATAAATCAAAAGGTTAAATTATGCTTTGGTGAAGTCAGAATTAGAATATCATTAGTATCGTAAGTGTATCATAAGGCATATCAATTTCTAAAGGACTGTGATGAATTTGAGAGGTTTTAAGTGAATTGGAGTTAGGTTCACATAAATGGACACATTAGAATACAGAGATAGTAGGAACTGCCGAAGCTGGAGAATCTGAGATAACAAGGTGTAGAGCTGGATGAACACAGCAGGCCAAGCAGCATCAGAGGAGCAGGAAAGCTGACGTTTCAGGCCTAGACCCTTCTTCAGAAATGGGGGAGGGGAAGGGTGTTCTGAAATAAGTAGGGGGTTCCCTCTCTCCCTATTTATTTAAAAAACTCCTTCCCCTCCCCCACTTCTGAAGAAGGGTCTAGGCCCGAAACATCAGCTTTCCTGTTCCTCAGATGCTGCTTGGCCTACTATGTTCATCCAGCTCTACACCTTGTTACATTAGAATACAGGGAGTTTTATTCTACATTTAACCCTATCTGGTCATGGCGTTCTTGAGAGAACTATTCAACAATTTTAATCTGCAATACATTTGTTATACACCTAGCTTAGGTGTTCTTGATGGAACACCTTAGCAGGAATGTTACACTGGATCAGACCCATTCTGTACTTAATGCCCGAAGTACTTGATTGACCGCTGTCATACACATTTTGGAAACATTAACCAGGAAAATACCCTGCAGCTAAGAAATGGCTCCAACAGCTGGCTTCAAAGAGGCCAACTACACTGGAATTTTCTTATTCCCCTTCCTCCCATGTCTTCCATCAAATAGTGGGAATTCTCAGAACTTTTGCATTCACTTGTGGGACATGGGTATCTTGAGCTGGGTCAGCACTTATTGCCCCTCCCTAGTTGCCCTTGAGAAGGTGCTGATCAGCTGCCTTCTTGTACTGCTGCAGACTATGTGACTCACAATGCTGTCAGGGAGGGTGTTCCAGGATTTTGACCAGCGACACTGAAGGAATGATGATATTTATCCACGTCAGGATGGTGAGTGTCTTCAAGGGGAACTTGTAGGTTGATGATTCAGTCAGTTGGACTATTAATGAATCTGAAGCACAACTAAAGGACTTCCTTGCACCTCCTTTGAACTGCCAGAAACTGATAGCTGATATAACTGATATAGGCCCTATATCTCCGTGTTCCTTCATCAGTGGGGTGTCATGGTGGCTCTGTGGTTAGCACTGCTGCCTCACAGTGCCAGGCACCAGTTCGATTACATGCTTGGCAGACTGTCTGTGTGGAGTTGCACATTCTCTCTGTGTCTGTCTGGGTTTCCTCCTGGTGCTCTGGTTCCTTCTCACAGTCCAAAGATGTGCAGATTTGGTGGGTTGGCCATGCTAGATCGCCCAGAGTGTGCACAAGTGTGTAGGCTAAGTGGATTAGCCATGGGAAATGCAGGGTTACAGGTAAAGAGCAAAGGGTTCTGGGTGGGATGCTCTTTGGAGAGTCAGCGTAGACTCAATGGGCCGAATGGCCTGCTTCCACACTGTAGGGATTCCATGTTTTGGAGAGTGTATTGTCAGCCCCAATTCTTTAAGGAATCGCCACTCATTGAAAATTAAATTTATTTACACTATCTGCATCAGTTTTGGAACAATATCTAGGTTTGTCTCATTAAAGCCAACATTTTCCTCACCTGGGTCAATAATCTGCTTTCCAAATGAAAATTAGATGGAGTGGACTACTTTTTAAAAATCTATGTACAATTAGGCATGTTTAAACCTGAGATAAATTTGAGCTTCTGCATACAAATACAAAGCTCATTCAGTTTTACACATGCCCAGCTTATTTTCAAATGCAGCAGTCAAGAAAAAATAGACTTTTTTGTCCGGCTTTGATGTATCAATCCCAGGAGACTAGCCTGACACTAGCCTATTGGAATGGGAAAATGATAGGGTAGTTTATCCTTCTGGATTCTCAACAGAGGTCATTGCTTATCGGTGAGATTAAAGTTCCTGTGTTGCCTCAAACACAACCTTGGCTGGGATAAGTTATTATCAAGGATTGAATCCTCTATAACTAAGCTTTTTGCTTGCTCTGTACATTGATCAAATAACCAAACAGCAATTTAATACTATTCAGATCAAAACATAAAGACCCGGTTGAGTTTACAGCAATTGACGCTTATATTGTATATTCCATTGGTTATCATCTTTTATCCAGCTAAAGCCATGACCTACCATTGGCAACTGGTGTGCAGACCACTGAACTCTCAGGAATCCATGTTTAATCAAGATCTGCAAAGCATTATCCAAACTTTTCTTAAATTCTGCCAAGAAAAAGTGAATTTTTCTGTTAGACTATGTAATGTCTTTGCTGTAATTTTAGACAGAGATTTTTATACATACTCGTTAACATGCTAATTACTCGCTGAGTGCAGATCTTTGCTGCAATCATTGCATTGCCATGTCTGCATGTAAAAGTTTTGACTATACCTTGCACATAATCTTTGTCCAGCTAGAAATCTGGTTACTGCATGAGGTATCACTGAGGCACAAAAACAAAAACACCACAATAATTGTTTTAAAATTGTTAGTTACAGTTTATGGAACAAATTGAGCTCTTCATTTGACTGGAAGGTTTCTGCACTGCTTGGTTCCATTGGTGTTAAATCCAGAACTTTAATGATGTTAAATAACCTCAGCATTGCAGAGATGGTCATAAAGCTTGCTTGCAGTTATTATAAGAAAAGGGTTAATCAAATCACATCAAACCTGCTACTGTTACACAGCTATCATAGAGTGATAGAGTTGTACAGCATGGAACCAGACCCTTAAGTCCAACTTGTCCATGCCAACTAGATATCCTAAATTAATCTAGTCCCATTTGCCAGCATTTGGCCCATATCCCTCTAAACCCTTCCTATTCATATACCCATCCAGATGCCTTTTAAATGTGTAATTGTACAAGGCTCCACCACTTCCTCTGGCAGTTCACTCCATTCACACACCACTCTCTGCATGACAAAGTTGCTCCATAGGTCCCTTTTAAATCTTTCCCCTCTCACCTTAAACCTATGCCTTCTAGTTTAGATACCCTGCTACCCTGCAGAAAAGGCCTTGCCTATTTACCCTATCTATGCTCCACGTGATTTTATAAACTTTTGTAAGGTCACTCCTCAGCCTCAGACACTCCAGGGAAAATAGCCCCAGCCTATTCAGCCTCTCCCTATAACTGAAAGCCTCCAATCCTGGCAACACCTCTAAATCTTTTCTGAACCCTTTCAAGTTTCACGACATTTTTGCCATAGCAGGGAGAGCAGAATTGAATGCAGTAATCCAAAAGTGGTCTAACCAATGCCCTGTTAGACAACAAACTGAAATACCTCTACAGAGGCTGGTATTCCATCACCAAGTCACCCCTTATTTACAAATGGAAAGTCATTGACACTAGCCCAGCTCCCTCAGAGCCAGCTCTCAGAGTGAACAGAACCTCTGACACTCCTGTTTCTATCTGTCAGCCAGGGCTCCCTGATTGGACCCCATTAAAAGCAACAATCAGGGAACTCATATTATATGAGGTCCACCTGGTTGACCTCATTACATTCACTACACAAACCTAATTAAAAGACATTCTAATAATACTGCATGGAACTTTAATTAGTTGTGACAATTCCTGCACAAAGCACATGACACTGCATTCCCCCTGAGCCATTTGGGGTTGGCATTGCCTTTCCTGAGGCCTACTCACCACTTGGCTTATACATTGGTGCTGCCACTCAACCTCTCTCCCCTATACACCACTTCTCTTCTGCTCAGCGTCTGCTGTCTCTCTCTCTCTCTTACACATATGGTTACCATGGGCAGTATTTAATGGACAGCCTGGGGGTTTGGTGGATCTCATGCAAACCAGCGAGGACACCATGTCACCTCACTTGTCTTCCTTACAAAGTGCCACTCAGGCAGTTCACTAGACAGCAGCAAGCCATCTTGGGGGTCAAAGTGTTACAAAGTTGCGTAGAGAATTTGCGGATTGCAAGGCAGGGTGTTAGGATTTGGTGTTTGTAAAGTATTGGTGTTTGTAAAATGCTAGGTGGGGAAGCAGTGTTTGGTCCCTTTAAAAGATGATGTGCTTTTTCTATGCTTATAGATTCAAAAAGGATGTCTGTGGGCAGCAGCTTAGGGGTTTGCAGGTGCACAGAGCTCCTGATTTGAAACATTTATATCAAAAGCTGTACAGTCAGCAGGCCAAACAGCAGTTTTGTGATGTTATCAAGACAAGTTTTGAATTTAGCCAATTAATTTGAACCAGGCACCCAGATACCAAAAACCAATTAAATTTAAACCCGATGGTTTTGACAACATAGGACCAATCCTATTGTAAGGAATATTGATATGTCATCAAGGGTATAAAAGAAGTGGCAGTTGGGCAAAGACAGGAGAGCGAGCTGCCATCTGCAAGAGTTAACAGCTCTCAAGAGAGAATCGCTAGTTCTCACAGTCATCTCTAAGTTTTAGGGAAAACACCATCTAAATCAAAAGTGCCTATGGCACAACTAGTTAATATCCCTGACAGAAGAATTTGGCGGATAAGGCGTTCCTGACAGAACATTTGACAGAGAAGGCACAGAACATTCCAGAAGACTTGTAACCTGGCTGTAATTTTGAGAGACTAAATTGTACTTTGATTATTTTTGTTTTATGTAAGTGGGACTTGTATTTATTGGAACAGCACACCATTAGAATTTTGTTTTATTCAGTAATAGTTATTAGTTAGACGGGATTTATTCGGTTTGTTAATAATTTAGTTAATTTGTTCACTGGTAGATTTAGATAAATAAATTGTTACTTGTTGATTGTAAAGTCAGTCTGATGGGTTTATTTTGCTTAACCACTAGAAGTTGCTGAAACAAATTGATTACATCCCTTTTCAGACCCCTTATAACGGATTATTAGGGTGAGTTGCTCCTTTCTAGGTGTTTCGGTTATAGTTACAGCAGGGGTGGGGAGGGGTCAACCTCACCTGGCCAGAGATTTTTTAAAATTTTGAGTGTCACTGGCTCGGCTGGTATTAAAGTGCCCATCCCTAATTGCCCAGATGGCAGTTAAAAGTCAACAGCATTGTTGTGGGTCTGGAGTCAGGACAGCAGCAAAAGATATTAGTGAACCAGATAGGTTTTTCCCCAACAAACAATAGTTTCATCATCATCGGACTCTTAATTCCAGATTTTTATTGATTTCAAATTCCACCATCTGCTGTAGCAGGATTTGAATCCAGGTCCTCAGAACATTACCTGGGTCTCTGGATTAATATTCCAGAGATAATACCACTAGGCTATCACCTTCCTTACATAGGTGATGGCTGCTTCTATCTGCTGGCCAGTCAGAGGTCACAGATCTATTGAATGGTGGAAGGTGGTGACAGCTACAGGATGAGAACTATCTGAACCATCTAGATCCCAAGCCAAAGGCGAATGATGGCAGATAGGGATGTGTTACAAAGTGCCAGTTGCCAGGTGGGTGTTCCAGAGGATGAGGAGGCAATCAGCAGCAATGGCAGGTGTGACTCTCAATGTGCTCCTCCCCTGCCTTCAATCAAGCACTGAGAGCCTTTGAATGTGGGATCTCAGCTGTAACCAGCAAGCTGCTCTACATGGGTTTATTCTCATGCTCCCCTTATTCTGTTGGGTTACCACCAGCAGCAGTGGGATAACTCTTATCTCTAGGCATTAGTTGCCCACTTGAGAATTTCTGTAGGTAAACACAGGCTCAATTAAGAAGGAGGTAGATATTACTCTTGTGGATGAAGGGATCAAGTGATATGGGGGGAGGGCAGGATCAGGGTATTTAGCTCAGTGATCAGCCATGATCAAATTGAATAGTGGAGTAGGCTCAAGGGGTGAAATGGCTCACTCCTGCTCTTATCTTTGATATTTCTTTGAATTGCAGTGAAGCTGGTGGAAGCTGGTGGAATCCCCATTTGCCAATCTCCCACCTGATAAACTTGCTGTGTCATCCTTTACAGAAATAGGCGATCGGTAAACAATGACATTGATCTATAACTGACCGGATCACTTAGTACAGGAGTAATAACTACTGACATGACTACCAGGCAGAGAACAGCTAGAAAAGCTCTATTTGAATGGTATTGAAAGCCCTCCCCCAGGGTGAGGGTGGTGGGTGCAGGAAAGGGAGCGAAGCAGTTTATCAGACAAGAGGGTTTGGACGGTCAATTCCACTGCCATCCTGCCTTCCTCCTGTGAGTGGGTAGACCTTTCCTGAAAGAGGTGACATTGGGCTTTTGTTTGCACCCTGGCTTGTGAGTGAGACACCTGTCACCTTTCTTAAATATCCCAAATTTGGGGAGTGAAACTGAATAAGAGAACTATGATAGTTCAGAGAAAAATAAATTGTTCGATGTAAAGTGATCATAAAGAAGGAAATTCATTTTAAAAAAGAATAAAACATGGGTGTTGATCAATAATTTGGAGCTCAATTAAACTCTGATCAGTCTGAATAATCAATATCATAATTGCAATGTGTTTAAATTTTCCCATTAAAATCCTGCAAGCTTTATCACCTTAAGTGCTGCTGTTAAAATGTGTTAATACTCAATAAATGCTGTTATAATTAACCTGTGACATGTATTATTGTGAATCCTATTTAATGGATGAGTAAGATATGAGTAAGAATATTTTCCATATAATGATTATCTTCATTCTCTCTTCTTGTATTGATGGAATTTTGTTCCTCTTAATGTTTTGCTCCATTGGTTCAGGCTGTTCATTGAGGCAATCCAGCACAGAAGTGCTTTGAGGGGGGACATTTGGTAAGGATGTAAAATGTGCTCCAGGCATTCAGCTGTCCACTATTCAATCTTCAGCTGGAGTCAATACAAGGAAACAGTGTAGAGCAGATGGACAGACCGTCAATGCTCATTCTGGATAATGTACGAATTATAACCACGTGAACTTACACAACCAGATTGTGTTGATTTTTATCTTGCATACCCACAAACAATAATCCTGATTTAATATCCTGCATTGCCCCCCATCACTATCACACTTTCCTTCCACTATATATAAACACTTAAATGTTGACTCAATCTGTTTCAATCATTAACTCTGTGAGTCAAAGCAAGACCTTCAGAGAACAAAACTATCCACCGTCCCTCCAAGTTGCCATTCCTCATGCACAACCTTCACCCCTATGGACAAAGTGTTTTACTACCAGTGCTGATGGCATGGAAAATTACACCTGAAGTTTGCATGTGCTTCCCCGCAAGGTTCACCACTCACAGGGTTTCAATCAGTCATGCAAAGTAATCCATCACTGATATGTGCATTGATATGAAATTTTCCCTCCTTTATCCAATGACACTGAGGTGAATTGTAATGAATCTATTGCCACGGGGACTATAATCAAATTGTTTAACATAAACAAAGCAAGGAATTCAAAATGGTCTTTGTCTGTGGAGATCAATGCCATAGTGATGTTGTTGTACCTAACAATTACTAAGGACACTTAATTGTGAGGTATCAAGCTATAACTGGTTGAAATGTGAGTATTGAATGTCCCAAACCTTCCAGACAGCTTGAGTGAAATTCAATGAAAAATTTTGTTTTGCATGTTGTCTTCACAATGGCTTCAATAAGTTCAAACTCAATACAGGCCTGCCCGGAGCTGTTACCAGGACCTGCAAACAACATAAGTATAATTAATTGTAAAAAAGAAGTCAGCAGTGACAATAATCTGCATTTTATACAGTGTCTCTAAACCAAACTCACTATAATTCAAGCACATATCATATCTTATGCACACTAGCCTTGAATATGTGTGTATGCATGTGTGTGCGTGTGTGTGCTTGTGCGTGTGTCATTCCTGGAAAATGAAACAGTGTTATATACTCCCGGACCAAGCTATGGTCAATTATGAAATAAAAAGAAAACATAAACTTTCAGGAGGCACCGAAGTTTACTTAGCTCCACAATATGAGCGACGTTTCTTAAGTGGATCTTTCTCTACCACGTTCTGGCAATAATTCTCATTACTTTGTTTCTATAGAAACAAGTCTAATAGCTGCTTTAACATTTATGCACAGCATGTTTCAAAGATTCCGTTCGGTAATTTGACTGACTCACTGACTTCACTCATAATTTCCAAACTTTAACTTGCATTTCCCTAAAATAATTCCCTCCTTTGTAAATTCCTTTAAAATCTTGAAAGCAATTAATTATGAGACCTCACAGTGTCATATCTTCAAACACATAGACATCTAATATCCCTTAACATTTCATTAATTTGATACTGGTTACCCAGAACTACCCTTTTTGCTCACTGCTGTACAGTTTAAGCATGTTAATATCCTCTCTTGATTTCAGGAGAATGGCACAGAGTACTCAGTAATATAAACTCTTCTGATTTGTACTCATTAGGCTGCTTTTTACAGCTGTTTGGGTTGGATTGGGTCGGATTGGGAGGTTATGGGGTGGGAGGTGGAAGTTTGGGCAGATGTAGAAAAAGGGCAAGGAAAGATAAGGCGGAGGGCAGCTCTCCTTTCCATAAGGATTAACATCAAGTGCCAAATGAAGGACATTTTAAAAGCAGCAGCTGAGCCATTGAGTGTGAAGGGAGACTTGCTTGTGACCCCTGGCAACTTCCCTGGTAGGATTCAAGCACATCTAATGCCTACAGAAAGAAACCCCTCCCCTGCTGCCTGCTAGACACACCAACACCAACTACCAGCCCCATCCCCAACTTGCCCCACTTACAGACCAGCCTTCACCCACGGTGTCCAGGCCAGCCTTCACCCACGGTGTCCAGGCCAGCCTTCACCTATGGTGTTCTGTCCGCCAGTCGCAGACCCAGCGCTACGGCCACTGTTCAGGTGCACAGTCAAGGCTGCTAAGGTGACAGCCTTCCGATTGGCCGGCCCATTCTTGGAGATGGCTCCTTCTTGTTTAAGGGATGACAGTAACATTTTCGGTCGACGAACAACCAAAAATGCAGCATTGAGTTATATAACCAGCCCTGGCAGTGTCACCTCCAGCTTTCAGGTCTGTTGTCAGGGTTCTTGACAAAATTCCAGCCGTTCTGTCTTTTTATGCATCCCAATACACTACTTGCCCTTCTTTAATGCAACAAATTACTGTGAAATATAGGGATCTCTCCACTCCACCTCAACAAATGCCAACAGGAGAATGTATTCTCTCTTGCAGCCTTGTTGTATTTCCATAATGCCCATCTTCCTGATATTCCAATGACAATCTTTAAGTAATAATTAGCAATTTTCTTTTCCACCATGCATACTCAGCTGCCTATGTTGCTTAACCTGATCTCAAACAAAGACACTTTAATCCCTTCACTCTTTCTTCATGCACAAGATGAGGGCGTCACTTTTAGGCAGCATTTATTACTTAGAGGGCAGTTTAGAGTCAACTGCATTGCTGTGGGTCTGGAGTCACATGTAGGCCAGACCAGGTAAGGATGGCAGTTTCCTTCCCTAAAGGACATCAGTGAACCAGATGGATTTTTCCAACAATCAGCAACAGTTTCATGATTATTACTAGATATTTTAATTCCAGATATTTTTTATTGAATTCAAATTCCACCATCTGCTGTGGCGGGATTCAAACCCAGAATATTATCTTGGTCTCCGTATTAACAGACCAGTGATAATACCACTAGGCCATTGTTTCCCATCTGATCTAGATTTGGAGCCAGATGCAGAAGATGAAAGATCAGTGGTCAATCTGCAGTAACAGCCCTCTCTAACTAATTTACGGTGTTCAATTCCGCTTGCATAATGATTCAGGAATCCTCCCCCCACCCCACCACGTTCCTCCCCCCTTCCCAGTGATGAACATGTTCTTTGCATCACTTGGCTCTTTTTACCTTTTTTAGACACAAACTGGGAAGTTACCCCAATTTCAAACGTGGAAAAGACAGGTGAGTGGTCGCTGGTCATAATATCATCAGTGCAACCTGCAGAAAAATAAAATTGCATGAATATGAGAAAATTAATTATTACACTCTGGGTTCTTATGGGTCAGGTGATGTGGCACAATTCTGTATTTTTTATGCAATGGTAAGTCGTGATGAATGGTACACACCCTCAAAAAGGAGGAAAATAGAAATGGCAGGAAGGACAAGATTTTTGGATTCCCACCCCCATTCCCACTTCTTGTAATTTTCACTGGTATGGGATAAGGGTAAGGATAGCTGTAGCACATTCACACACTTTCTTTGTCAGCTCCATTCATTTCCCAAGGTTAATATAGTTGAAAACATCTTGAATGGTTAGCTGAGTTTGAAAGGTCCAGAGCCATTTATCTCAGCAGGAGGCTATGTTTACATTTTAATTGGGTTCATGAAGAGGAAATTCACAGAATTATCTCTTTGATGCAATTAGTGAATTGATTTTTTTTGGTTCACAACAGGTTGACTGCTTCAAAGGATTTACATCTTTTGAATGAGTTTTATGAATTAGAGTTTGTTATCAGTCAGTTTGTTTCAGTGAGAGCTGAATTCGATCGTCAGTAGTTGAAGTTTTCATCTGCCTTTCAATGTCATGGCTTATGAGGTTTACCCATCTTAGATAGTGGGTAATTTGCAATGAAGAATACTTAAGGTGGATAGGGGTATGGGAGGGCAAAAAATGTTGATGGAAAATATGAGGGATCACGTCAGGTAGAAGTGGGTAGGGAGGGTTTGAGGGTCTGATACTCATGATGAAAACCAGAACAACGCCCCAGAAAATGTATGAGCACATTCCAGCCTGCTGTCTGGCCATTATCTATGACATTGTTGCCTCTGGACAGTGTGGCCTGGATCTATCTTGTCCTGCTGCTCCAACACAAAAATGAGACAAGCAAGGGCATTTTATAGGACACAGTTCAGCAGGTATCCCACTCAAACTCCTTCCACCTCCACAAAAGTCTGAACCAATTGTGTTCATTAAAACATTGCTAAAATATTTCTGCAAAATCTCTTTGTCAATTAAAACCAATTTCCTTTAGATCTCTGCCTAATGTGATGATCATCTTAAAAAAAGTGGTCTAAAGTGATACTAGTTCCAAATTATGAACTGAGGGTGGGACAGAAGGTGGGCAAAGCCCTTTAACACAGGTGAAATTTGTGATAGAAACAGAGTTATTATTATTCTACCCCATGCAAAGATTTGTTTTCAATTCTACTGAAAGGAATTAAACAAATTTTCCTCCCTAACTATAATATTCAAAGGGAATGCACAAGGAAGTCACAAACCACACTGAGAATTCTGCCTAATATACCATTATGGAGTCTAAACAAAACTCTCGTCAGGTGAGATGTGGTAGGTGTTCCATTGAGAAGGCCTCAGAGAGTTTCAAGACAAAGGTAATTAGCCCTGAAGATCAATTACCTTTATTTAGAAAAGCTTTGGCCCCTTTAGGACCTCTACCGTAGGACTTCATATATTCATAGTAATAATGTCTATCTTGCAAATGTAATTTGTATCTGATGGCTAACAACGTAACAAACGACATTGTCTCTTCTCATTAGGACACACTTGGTGGCAGCAAATTACCCCAAACACAATCTGGTAGTGGTTGGCATTCCCAAAATACCCAACAATAACCTTCTTACATCCTACTGTTTGCTATTTCTGCAAACAATCTTGCTTTTACTTAACAGAATGGTGATGGGCAGATCCTCCACTTTCAGTTATTAAAATTGCATTCGGGTCCTAACACTGATCCCTGCAGAACACCACTATTTACACCCTTCCACCGCTACTCTGTCTTCATGACCAAGCCAATTTTGTATCCATCTTAAGATAACAAGGTGTAGAGCTGGATGAACACAGCAGGCCAAACA